TGTGTGTGTCCCAGAAAATCTTTGGTTTGGATCTGCCCTTGGAACCAAGTGGGTCGAAATCATCGACACAGGGCAGGAAATGTGGTCAGAGACTGGTTTAGGGACCAAGGATACAGGCTGTTTTACTGGGGCAGATTGCTGCTGGGTTAACAGTTGAAGAGAGAGCCTTTTCCCATAAAGCAGCCTTGAGGTGAGTGGCGTAATCCGCTATGGCTTTTGGGGTACACTGCTAGCAGATCTTACATGCCAATATGTTACGGCTCTCCCCACAACAGGCAAATGGAGTGCTTGTCCATTCTCTTCATGTTTGTTGAACAAGAGGAGCCCTTTTTGAACAATAGCATTTTATTTTGAAAACCAAAAACCACGAGGTAAGTAAGAACTGTTTTTCTCCAGCAGTGGCAAAAAGAGAACTGAGGGAGAGTGTGGAGCCCCTTCCTGGAGTACATGACTGTTAGGTGGGAAAACCGCTCCAACAGCTCCAGTTGGGAGGGGCTCCTCCTACTCTGTTACTAGGCTAGCTAGAAAATCTTCTAGTGGCTGGCCTGCACAGTCCCATGTATGCCTGCACAGGACAATGATGATGATGAACTGCCTATTATTTCTTAAGCCTGCACAGTCCCATGTATGCCTGCACAGGACAAGGATGATGAACTGCCTATTGTTTCTTAAAAGGCATATCAGTATTTATTTATTTGATTTATATACCACCCTCCCCGCGGACGGGCTCAGGGCAGTTCACAACAGTCTCAATACAATACCATTAAAACAATAATTAGGACAGTAAAACCATAAAATACAGCGCAACAAACTAATTCTGATAAGCAGTACTGATATTAAGATCCAGGCCACCAATGTCAATTCAGCAGTGCCGATGTTAAGATCCAGGCTGCTGAGAGGGAGATAGCCAGGAGAGGAAAGGGACATCTGCCGCCTCAGCCAAAGGCCTGGTGGAAGAGCTCCGTCTTGCAGGCCCTGCGGAACTATAATAGATCCCACAGGGCCCTGATCTCGTATGGGAGCTCATTCTACCAGGTGGGGGCCAGGATCGAAAAAGGCTAGTCAGACGTCCCTGGGGCCAGGGACTACTAGAAGATGTTGATTTATGAAGAAAAACCTTGTTGCACTTACCTGTAACTGTTGTTCAACTAGTTGTCTCAGTGTGGGCACACATGGGACAGCGCACACATGAAGGCCAGCCATCGGAAGATTTCTAACTAGCCTAGTAACAGTACAGGAGGCACCCCACCCAATTGGAGTCGTTCGGGCAATTTTCCGACCTAACGGTCATGTGCTCCAAGGAAGGGGCCCCTCTCCCTCCCTCAGTTCTCCTTGGCCATCGCTATGTGCCAGCAAATTCAGAGTCAAGGAGCTCACAGCAGGGTAGGAGGGAGGGATGTGTGCCTGCACAAAGACAACTAGATGAACAACAGTTACAGGGAAGAGCAGCACTGTTTCATTGTCGTTCTGCACAGTCCCACGTGGGAGACTAGCAAGCTGATTTACCAGGTGGTGTGGTGAGCGATTTACTGTAAGATCGAATGTAGAACTACGGTCCCCACCAAAGTCTCTCTTCCCATATTAACGTCCACAGAATAATGCTTCATAAAAGTGTCTGCAGACAACCACATTGCTGCCCTGCAAATGTCACCCAACGGAATGCCTTGCCGAAAGGCAGCAGGGTCCCTCCTGTCCTCCGCTGTCCTCTGAAGTTTGCTCAACTTCATGCTCGTTGCATCTATGACACTGTCCAACCATCTCATCCTTTGCCGTCCCCGTCTTCTTTGACCTTCAATCTTTCCCAGCATCAGGGTCTTCTCCAGTGAGTGCTCCCTTCTCATTTGGATGCCAAAGTATTTGAGCTTCAGTTTCATTATCTGGCCTTCCAACTGCATTCCAACCATATTGCTGCCCTGCAAATGTCACCCAATGGAATGCCTTGCCGAAAGGCAGCAGATGTTGCTTCAGCCCTCGTGGCATGTGCTCATATCTGTAAAGGACACTGCACCAATGCTAGCTTGTAGGGTCTCTGATAGTAGAGACAACCCACCTGGGCACCGTCTGAGCAGACGCAGCTTTCCCCTTAGAGGGACCAGGAAAGCAGACAAATAATTGGGGAACCTTTCTGAACTCACTTGGTTCTCTTTAAATAAAATGATAGGGCATGTTTTACATCTAATGTGTGTAGCCATCTTTCTGCTGCCGATGATGGAAACAGGAAAAAGTTGGGAAGTGAAAGGTCCTGGCTCAAGTGGAATCTAGAAACCACTTTCGGTAAAAAGCGAACACTGGGCCTTAATACCACATTTTGGTCATGAAAAGGGCTGTAATCTATCCTATCCTCCTGGCAGATGTAATAGCCAATAGGGAGGACACATTTAAAGAAAGGATATCAAGGGAGCGGGTGGCTAAAGGCTCAGAGGGAGGCGGCATTAAATGAGAGGCACGGTCTGCACGGACCTTTGGGGTAAATTGCTGGCAGACCTTACATGCCATTACATTGTGGTTTTCCCCAAGGCACAAAAGACAGATGGCAGTGTTCGTCCATACGAGTCATCTTCATAGAGAAAGAGGAACATTTTTTGAATAAAGACTTCTTTTTTTTACAAAACAACAGGAGCTAACTAGGAATGTTCTTCTCAAGGCAGCAGCAGCAGAGAGAACTGAGGGAGGGGGAGGAGCCCTTCCCTGGAGCATGTGACCGTTAGGAGAAAAGCAGCCCAAATGACTCTGATTGGGAGGGGACCCTCCTGCTCTGTTACTAGGCTAGCTAGAAATCTTCTGGCGGTTGGCCTGCAAACATGCACAGTCCCGTGCATGCACAGAACATGCACAGAACGACAAAAATGGTAGATACAATTGAGAAATCAAGACTCTGCTTTTAGAGGAACATGAGCAAAAAAAGACTGTGGATGAACTACTGCTTGCTGAGAAGCACTGTGATATGCAGCATAGTGCAAAACTTTGAGATGGCCACTCCATTACCTCTTTTTTCCCATAGCTTTACTGTGCAGGGTGTCAACAAATCAAGTTACAAATGTAAGTAGAAAAATCTTCTGGGCAGACTTGACATAGCTGTAAAAGAGCACCTTCAGCGAGTTTTTAGAATATAGTATAAAACTTTTTTAATATACCATATTTCTATACACAGGAGATTAGTACTCCCCTGGTGCATGCCTGTATGAAATGTATATAGCTATATTAGACACAGTTATTCATACAGTTAATATGCAGCCTTTCAAACAGTATCTTTCATACCAAGACACTGCATATTTCATTCCTTATTTCTATTTTACAGTTCTCAGATGGAACCCAACAAGCTATGATTTAGATCTTTCAGTTGTGGATGCTGTAGTCCTCCTCTTTCTCCACTGTCTTTAGTGATCATGGAAATACTGTGGGCAATTCCTTTTAAGAATTCTTGTTTATTTTCTTCCATACAAAGAAAGATATATACAGATACATAAAATTGTTTTCAGAACCAAATGTTTTGTTTTACATAGCATCTCAAGGAGGTGAAATATTGCACTTTAAGCCAAACATATTTGAACAGAAGCCAGTTGTATTGTCAAAGAGTACTTCAAAGCTTAAAAACCCTTAAAGACTTCAAAGCGTGAAGACTGAAAGAAATGTGGTAAAAAGTGATCTGGTGCTATTGTATCAAATGCATGAGTAGATATCCTGCCCAAGGCAGGAACTTCTTCAGTCTGTGGCCACCGCTGGAAAATGCTCCATGTGCTGGCCTCTCCCATCCACTGCACACAGAAAAAAGGGCACTGGATGTCAACCATGACTCACGGGATGTAGAAGGGGAACTGCTGCATAAAATCAACTCAACTTCCATTCCTGGCTGCTTTTTGTAGTTGTATAGATGATGATCAAAAACTCTTCCCACATGCAGATTCGACTTCTGTTGGCTATGAAGTAACATGATTAAGGCAATGGACCTTTAACAAAAATAAAGTTCTCTTACTGCAACCCAATTGGTCTTATCCTGCTGGATCATAACAGAGCAAATTGTCTGTATTCATAAGCCTATCTGAATGATAAGCTGTGTGTGCTAAGATGCTACAAGCCCCGTTTCTCTCCGATTCCAGCACCCAGGCCATGTCCCACAGTCAAAAAAGAAGTTCCACCAATCAGCTGTAGTGGAAAAGAGGTGAGGTGTTTGTGGATGGTGGTGATAGATTTAGCCCACCCTACTGGGTCCTTCCCATCAGATCGAACAGTAGGTTTTTGAAGGCTATGCTGGGTATGAGAACAACTGGACAGGAATCCATGTAACGTTTAAATTTATTTCCTTATGATTGCAGAAAGAATAAAAACTAAATTTCCTCACTGAAAGCTCAGGAGTTTTGTATAAGCAGTTCTTTCTACAGTTTTTGACAAACAAGTAGAATAAAAACATTTACAATACTAAAGATGCCGCCGGTCCCAAGTCTTAAGTCTAGAGAGAGAGAAAGCAGGATGTACATATTAACAAATTAAATAATAAATTCAACTGCTGTACCAAAACATTTTCTGCTCAAATAAAACCACCATCACACCATTATATTTGCCACATACATTTACTCGGGATTTTTACGAATTCCTTTATAAATATCCATAATATTTTAATTTGGTACTACTGTTTCATAATTTTCAAATACCCCTAATAGAGAAGGGATATTACAAAAGAGGTGTATTTTGAGCACATACAGACAATTCAAATTCAGTTTTCCTTTTTAATACTTTAATTCTTGACCAAGTTGCCAGTGAGTACACACTGGATTCCTAAAATCTTGAATGTAAACACACAGAAGACTGATCATTAATCATGGAAGACAGTTCAGCAAAGGATGTGTGGGTGTGTGCCATACTATAAGAATCAAATACTAACGAAGAGTTTATCAGGGATTTCTTATCCAGACTTGGTTTGGAATCTACAATACTTTGCCATATACAAGATACAAACATGATTTAGCTAAAAAAACAGGGAACTGCTTGTTCATTATTTTCCTCTAAAGACAACCTTTTAGATTATCTACTGTATCAGCATTTCCTCCATACAGACAAATTAATGCAGGATGTACCCTAAAATGATAAGAAAAAGAGGGGGACATCTGTTACACCTTTGTTGCTTTCCTATGCATTTCTCTAAGAACAGAGATCGATTAACAAAATAAAAAGTTCAAGAAAATCTCCACTTTCAACTGCGGTCAAATAAAACAGTTACTATTTTTACAGCCAACGGTTATATGTTGAACAATTTACCATGGGATATTCATGCAGCCAGTAAGCTGTATTCGTTTCCATGTGGAACAATGAGCCTGAGTCTGACCTATAAGTAGTTACTGTCCAGTATACAAGTGAAATGACATCAGAGTATTCTGTAAAGTGTTTATAAGCAATAAGCAAATGTGGATCAACTACATAAGACTAGGTTCACATCCTGAGATGTCTCCATTTAGTTTTGTCATGCAGTCACAATACATACATATACATCCATGAGAGACAGTCCGCCCCAACATTCTGCACACTTGATTGAAATGTGAATGTAACACCTGGGTAGAGTTTCAGGCATACTTCTGGACTTAAAATAGTATGCATAATACACTGGATTTTATGCAGACAGACCCCTATGCAAACATGGCATGCAAAGTGGGAATAACAGGTAGGAGTAAGGATGATTCCAGTCACCCCCTATCCAATGGAACATCTGCAGAGGACTCTGGGTGAAAGAGGAGGCAAGGTAAGACTACCTAGCATTACCCAGCTGACTCCATCACTTTGGAATCAGATAAAACAATCCTCCAGTGTCCTAGTCTATCTAAGCAATCCATTATTTGCTTTTCCGCTTTTCCACCGGGCATATCAGTGAGAGCGACGGTATGCCAGCCAAGCCTTGCCAAGCCGCCAAGGCATGTACTTTGTATAGGTAGATAACAATGTGGTCGATGTCTAGTCGCAATGATATACCGAGCTGCTTTTACTTATATTTATAGTATTTATGTAAAGTTGTTTTATGGATCGATTGTTTTATGTATGTTGGTTTTATTAATGCTGTGAGCTGCCCTGAGCCGCTTCGCCGGAAGGGCGGGATAAAAGCCGAATAAATAAAAAATAAAATAAAAACTATTATTTAATCTCACCCTTCCTCCAAGAACATCGGGGCTTCCCCTCCTCCATTTTATTACGCTGAAACACAGTGAGTAGCCTACGCTGCCCCAGTGAGCTTCATGGCAGAGTAGGATTTAAACTCAAATCATAGTCCAGTCTCTACGTCAGACTGCCCAATATTGTCAAACCAGCCCCTCAATAGAGAAGAGTACGGATTTCCATAATGAAGTTGCTCTTGTGGTCAGGTGTGTGGCCATTGTGCTTTCTGTTCCTATTTGCTGGTCACCATGCCAGTGTCTAAAGGAATATGCAGAAGCCTAATGGGGAGCTTGTTGTGCAGAAATGCAGTATGGAGGCAATTGCAAACTTGGCTTTAAATAAGCATGCTGGTTCTTAAGTGCAGAATCCTGAATGACAGCACACTAAACTGGTCCGCTGGCAACTACTAAAATTTCTTGTCAATATGCTTTGTCATACCTGACAAGAATTTCCGATGTCCATTCCATTAAATCACCATCTATATTCCAAGGGTAGGTCTCTTCCGCAGACTCCACATTTTCTTCACTGACACAGTCCTTTCTAGTTCTCAGATGAACTTCTACTGCCTCAACAGTGTACGTCTCAACAAAGGGAAAGCTAAACTAACACACAAAAATATTTGCACAATATTGTTAAATTCTAACATATGCCTAAATTCAAGACCTTGCTTCATTTGTCCTTTTATAAAATAAAAAATTACCCCATGCTTTATTTTTAGAAAGAAAACATTCCATTAATTATTTTAGGTGACCTAAAAGTATACTCTTTCCAAAAGAATTAACTTCTATTCAAGCAGAGGTCCATCAGTGGCTATTAGCCACAAGATATAGATAGGAGCTCTGGGGCAAGTGATGCTCTGTCTTCTTGGTGCTTGGGGGGGGACAGTGGGAGGGCATCTAATGTCCTGGCCCCACTGGTGGACCTCCTGATGGCACCTGGTATTTCTGGCCACTGTGTGACACAGAGTGTTGGACGGGATGGGCCTTTGGCCTGATCCAACATTGGCGTCTCTTATGTTCTTATGTTCTTAAGATATGCATGACATGGTAGAAAGTGCTATCAAGTCGTAGCCAGCTTATGTAAACCCCGTGGGGTTTTCAAGGCAAGCGATTAATGGATTTGGTTTGCTATCGCGTGCCTTGGTGTGGCAACCCTAAACTTCCTTGGTGGTCTCCCATTCAAGCACTAACCAGGGCCAACCCTGCTCAGCTTCCCAGAGCTGACTACCCTGGCCATTCAGATCAGGGTATGACTAGCATAACGAATGATTATTTGCTGTCTGACACGATTCTCCTTTTCTGATCTAATTGTTCTTTCCTTGAAAGGAAATCCACACCATAGTTTTCAGTCAGGAATACTATTACCTTTTGGACAGAAGGCCTTGGAACCTGCACAGTGTTTCTGTGGGTGGAAAGACTGTGCCCACAGAGCACAACTACCTCCCTTCCCCCCATTGCTACAGCTAAAATACACCCCAGGAGGATGTGCCCGTGGGGCATTTAGAGCTGAAGTGGGGAATGTGTGTGTGGAAATGCAATGCTAGTTTCAAGCCAATCAATAAAGTTGTCAGTCAAGACCAGGACTTTTTTTTTTGTAGAAGCAGCCCAGCAGGAACTCATTAGCATATTAGGCCACACCCCTGACAGTGCAGCTCATTAGCCTATTAGGCCACACCCCATTCCTTTCCTTGGCTTGCCCAGGTGCCCTGGGGCTGCAGGGAGCCTGGGCAAGCCGGCCCTTGGACAGGCTGGGAAAGGCTGGTGCCCCCCTGGCCCGCCCGCCTTGGAGTCATCAGGGGGTGGTCGCTCTCCAGGCCTTCCCTCTGTAGCCACACATGCAGAGGTTTGGGCTGTAGTGGGTGTGGCCAACTCTGAAGCCAGCCGGAACTCCGTTCCTGTGCGTTCCTGCCCAAAAATAGCCCTGGACTCAAGACCAAGAGGTTCACTACAGTACGATCAATTGGTGTCTTAAATCTGCACTGGAATGAATATTCTCTAGAATACAAATATCCCGTGTAATTTAGTTTTGAAATAGCAATACAAATGTTTTACAGCTTTACAATAGCCCAGTATCCAGTTCCACACCTAGCTCAAAAGTGTGCCTACTCCTACGCTGATCTCACTTGGCCTAATAAAAGGTCACTTACTATCTTCTTCATACCTGACCTGCTCAGAAGATTTAAAAACATGCCTTGAGTCCAGCTTTGCTTTTGCTTCACAGCTAGTACTTTAACGAAAAGAAGAAGAAGAAGTGGAGGAGGAGGAAGATGAGATTGGATTTATACTCTGCCCTTCACTACCCGAAGGAGTCTCAGAGCGGTTTATAATCTCCTTTCCCTTCCCCTCCTCACAACAGACACCCTGTGAGGTAGGTGCAGCTGAGAGAGCTCTTTTGAGAACTGCTCATGAGAGAACAGCTCTGAGAGAACTTGTGACTGACCAAAGGTCACACAAACAGCTGCATGCAGAGAAGTGGAGAATCAAACCCGGTTCTCCCAGATTAGAGTCTGGTCACCTAACCAGTATACAGAACTGGCTCTCAATATTACTGTGGACTGTACAGTTTGGAGCTGCATTTGTTTTCCTCTCTCACTGGAGTGAGACATAAGAAATATAAAATCAGCCTTTGCTTGTCAGCATACAGACTGTCAGCTTGAGATATGCAACTAAAAAAATTCAAGCATAAACACTGATATTCTGGGTTATTCAGGTCCCCAATACTGGATATTCCCAAACGTTTCTTCAAATATTCAGGATCAGGATACCTGTATTGCTGATTCCCAATTATTGATCCAGATCCTGACTGTATCTGAAAAAACCTGATGTTATTTTTTTTCCAGCTATTTATTTGGACTGGATATATCTGAGGATACATCCCTACTGTCAACCACTACATGGCCCACCTGCATTCTATTTTCACAACAGCACAAAAAATTTGGTGTGGCAAATGATGCAGTGGTGTTCCTTCTTTCCACATAACATGCAAAGACTCAAAGATTATCTGAACAACCAATCAAATACCTAGGAAACTTTAGTGGTATGGTATCTGAAATGGTGATTATTTTAATTGTGGTCTATGATATTTTGGGACAATCAAACAAGAGACATCCCAGTTTGGTGCAGTGGTTAAGTGCACAGACTCTAATCTAGGAGAACTGGGTTTGATTCCCCCACTCCTCCACTTGCAGCTGCTGGATGACCTTGGGCAAGCCATAATTCTGTCAGAGCTGTTCTTGAAAAGAGCAGTTTCTGTCAGACCTCTCTCAGCCCCGCCTGCCTCACAGGGTGTCTGTGGTAGGGAGGGGGAGGGAAAGGAGTTTGTAAGCTGCTCTGAGACTCCGAGTGAAGCGCGGGATATAAATCCAATCTCTTCTTCTTCTTCTTCTAAAATAAAGTATCTGGAACCCATAATGTAACATAAGAGAGCAGCTACCTTTTAAGATTACTGGGGGGGGGGGTTGAAGCTACTTCCAGTCATCTGGAATTAACAGAATCATTACCCTGCACTGTCATGTTGGCATGTTATGCTTTTCCCCACCCTTCCTCCATGTCAGGGGGGGGGTCGTCGTCGTCAAGATTTAATTTAAAGTGTACACACACACCCACACATCCAAAATTCTTACAACATACACAAGGACAGGCAAGCATACCCTTTGTTATGTAATGTAAAACTTATACTGGCCACCATCCCATTGTATGTTTAGTCCAGTACTGACTGCTGGCTTGTCCCTCCTATAGATTTACTGTGTGTGCATCTGCTATATGTTTTCGTGTATGCATTGTCCCTTGAGCAGACCTGTGTATCTTTGGGACCTCCGTCTCTGGTATGTACCTGGAAGAGATAACAGAATCATTACCCTGCACTGTCATGTCGGCATGTTATGCTTCCCCCACCCTTCCTCCATGTCAGGGGGAGGGGTCATCGTTGTCAAGATTTAATTTAAAGTGTATATATAGGTTATACAAAAAGTAATGCTGTGTACACAAGGACAGGCAAGCATACTCTTTGTTATGTGATGTAAAACTTATACTGGCCACCATCCCATTATATGTTTAGTCCAGTACCCAGTACTGACTGCTGGCTTGTCCCTCCTATAGATTTACTGTGTGTGCATCTGCTATATGTTTTCGTGTATGCATTGTCCCTTGAGCAGACCTGTGTATCTTTGGGACCTCCGTCTCTGGTATGTACCTGGAAGAGAGTTATGCTCCACTGAGAACAATCTACTGGTGATCCCTGGCCCCAAAGGTATCTGACTGTCCTCAACCAGAGGCAGGGCTTTTTTGGACCTGGCTCTGACCTGGCGGAACTCTCTATCAAACACCACCAGGGCCCTGCAATTCCGCAGGGCCTGTAAGGCAAAGATGTTCTGCCAGGCTTTTGGTTGAGGACAGCAACGGTTTTCCATCACAGCTGGCCCCCTTTTCATCTTTTCCTCCATCTTTGCGCTTCAGCCCCCTCCTCACCCTGCCCATGAGATGGCAACACAGTCCGGAACGGGCAGGAAGAAAATTATTGATGCCATCTGAGATTACGTAATTGATTTATAGATTTTATTTTAACATTATTTTAACTGTTGTACATCACTCAGAGCCTTGTGTGTGCAGGGATTGGATGATTCACAAATCTAAAGTAATAAATAAATAAAGTGTTCTCTGCATGAAGTCAAAATTAAACTATTCACAGAATTAAAATGAGTCACCATTCCCCTTAAACCCAATGCAGACTATGTTCAGATATACTATTTCTGGGGTTTTTAAATCAGTTTAGCAGCTTTATTCCCTTATAACTCTCATTATAAGATGCCTAAATAAACCACAACAGATGGACAGAAATAGGCTAATCGGTATTAGTCTGATTGGTGATTTTCAAAAATCAGATAAAAGTGGGCTAATGTACTACGACAAGAACCTAAGTCTTCTTATGAAGACACTAATATCTCCTGTAGTGCATTTACCTCCATTTTAAACTTTTGCTTTGTACTTCTATATGTTTTGTTTTAGATATTTTATGTTATGCCTGATGTGTTTTTGCTTTCTGCTGTGATGTTCTGCTTCTACAGTTGCTAAGTAAGTAGTTAAACAACTCTTGGTAGCAAGACAGAAGTAAACCTTTACCTGGTTTTTTATGCCTGCATATCTTTTCAGGTGTTTAACAAATTGTGGGCGAGAAGTGTTCCGGACAACAATAAGAGCTATGCTTCCATCATTCAATCTAAAAAGAAAAGAGTACAGTTACAGGAGTAAATTACACACCTGATTTTGACCTCATTCATAACTCATCTGCAACCAGCACTTTCAGACATATTAAAATACCAATTCAACAGTGTTTTAATATATTCAAAATGCTTCAGGTTTTGAAGCCCCAACTGGGGGGAGGGCGGCATACAAATCAAATAATAAATAAGTGTATACTCTCTTGATGATCCTTACAACACCACAACAAAGAAGAACAGTACTATAGGGACCAAAGCCCGAAAAGAGGCTGCTTAATGAATTCCTGGCGAAGACAAGATTTGAACTGGGGGATTCCCTGGTTCAAAGTTCAGTCTCTTAGTTGTGGTCAAGTTAGAAAAACTGCATTTTAGCATCTACATTTTCCTAAAAGAATCTGTACATATCATCTGGAGAGGAAAAAAGCTGGAGTTTTCATTATAACAATTTTAAAAACCATCTATAATACATGTGACAAAGTAAAGGTGATGATCCAAACTCTTCTACTAGAGAGAAATAAGGACGCCATTACTCTGAGATGTTAAAAAGTGCCACTGGCTCATACAAGCAGCACTCGGTATAAAAGCTGGGCTTCGTGGTTCCCTGAATGACGCCTGTGACAGAATTGTCCTCTGACAGCTCTCTGAGTGTAGATACCATCTATGTAATCATCAGCTTCTATGGCTAGCTGCCAGTAAGAGACAGTACAGTATCCTTAAAGGAAGACACATCAACAACATTGATGTTGTACATTTTGAGAGAGAAAAAAGAAAGTGAAAGGTGAATGGTCTACTGGTAGAGCTATAAGCTTTGACCACCAACAGCTTTTCAGAAAAGAGTGAAAACCTAACAGAGTGAGCAAATGGCTCGGCAATAAATATAAAACTTTCGTTTGTTTTTCAAATCACTAAAGATGCTCCAGGGAGCCCAATAAACAAACACATTTGTTTTAATTTGTGTAAGAACCAGATCACCAGCTCAGAAAATGTCTTATTCTAGAATTCAGTATGTATAAATCAATTGGAAGCATGCCATTAATTATACACTTTATTGCAAGGTTTTAGAGGCAGAAGCTATTTTTACATTACTTCCAGAAGAAGGTTCTTCTGATCACATCTTGCAAAGACTCCTAATAAAGATGACTTCAACGAAGTGCTGCTTTTATATGAAACTGGAGTGAAGTAAATAAAATTCCTCCTAAATAAGCCTCAGCTTAGAAAAGGACTGGAAAAGAGTGTTAAGCTCCTTTATGTATTGAGTTCTGCCATAAAAAGAATTAGCTGTAAAAGTGGCTTTGCGATTAAAAATGATCACCTCTGTAGGTCACAAAGGAAACATTAACCAATATTTCTGCCGTATGAGCACAGAGCTCTCTTTTTCAAGATGAATATTACAAAGCACTCTTTGATTTATACACAAAAAGAACCCGATGATTTTGTGACCGGATAAGCTTCCACTAACTGAAGGGGGGGTCATTTTCTGCTGAGACCCCTCCTCCCACAGCTGCGGACCTCTGACCCTCCACTCATGCTGTTCCTGGGGTCCCTGCAGGGCCTGCATTTCGGGGAGCAGTTCCAGGTGGAGGTGGGAGTCAAGGAAATTTTATCTATTATATTTATTCTTTTTATTTTATTTATTATTATATTTTTTATATCCCACCCACCCCCACAAGTGAGCTCAGGACGACTCACAACATATAAATTAACAGTAAAACCGATAATATATAAAAACAAGTAAACAATGTAGATAAAGCAAGATGACACAAAAACACTAACAGTTCAAAGTCCCCTGTAGCATTTTAAACAGATGATAATAGGTAGCCCAATTTACAGCCGTTTTTAAGCAGATGGTGGTAGGTACCCTGATACACAACAGTGCTCCATAGGTAATAAACAGTATCTGAAAGGCACTGCGTGGGCACCAAAGGCACGGGAGGCTGAGATGATTTAATGCCCACTGCCTCAACCCAAGCCTGGTGAACAGCTCTGATTTACAGGCTCTGCGGGACTGTAATAGATCCTGCAGGGCTCTAATCTCAGATGGGAGCATGTTCCACTAGGCTGGGGCCAGGGCTGAGAAAGCCCTGGCCCTGGTTGAGGCTAAGCAGGTGTCTCTTGGGCCAAGGATTATGCAGGAGGTGTTGATCCGTGGAGTGCAAGGCTCCCCGGGGCACATATGGGAAGAGGTGGTCCCGTAGATATGCTGGTCCCAGACCACGTAGGGCTTTGAAGATCAATACCATTATCCTGAACCGGATTTGATATTCAATTGGCAGCCAATGCAGTCGGTGAAGCACTGGCTGGATGTGCACCCGCACAGGCGTTGCTGTCAGCAGGTGTGCCACTGCATTCTGTACTAGTTGTGGTTTCTGGATCAGGTTCAAGGGTAGCCCCATGTAGAGCGAGTTACAATAATCCAGCCTGGAAGTGAACATTGCGTGGATCACTGTAGCTAAGTCCTGAAAGGTGAGATCGGGAACCAGCTGCCTGATCTGCTGAAGATGATAAAAGGCCAATCTGGCAACTGTGGTGACCTGGGCCTCCACAGAAAGCGAGGGATCCAGGATCACCCCAAGGCTCCTCACCCTCAATGATCGTGCTAATGACACCCCACTGAGCACTGGGAGTTGGATTCCCGATACCATACTCCCACAGCTCAGGTACAGGACCCCCGTCTTTGTTGGATTTAATTTCAGCCGGCTCTGCTGCAACCATCCAACCACGGCCCCTAATGCCCGGCCGTCCATCAACAGATAAATCCCATCCCTCCCAGTAGAAGTGTCTTCTGTTAATGAAGATCTACCTGGGACATAAGCCAATGTGTTTGTTTTGTAACAGTGATCCGTACAAGTACAGAAGTGTGGTATTTCTAGTGATAGTGTTGGGAATTTTGTCCCAAGCATTCCTATGTCACCCCAGCAAACCTAAAAGATGCTCTTTAGGCAGAAAGGCTTGAGCAAGCAGGCTTTACTTCACACAAACTTGTGCTTCTGAAGGTTTTGGGGAGGAGCACCTAGTGTGAAATGCGAAGCAGTACCGTATTTTTCGGACCATAAGACGCACCTGACCTTAAGACGCACCTAGTTTTTAAAGGAGGAAAACAGGGGGGAAAATATTCTGAACCTTTGGTCCATAAGACGCACTCACTTTTCCTCCCACTTTTTTTGGAAGAAAAAGTGAGTCTTATGGTCCAAAAAATACGGTACTTTTATTATAGAAACAATTTCCAAGATTTCTGAGAGAAACACTCCTGGATCTGAATCAAACTGAGGGCAACTTGCCCCATCATAAAACACTGTTTCACGGTGGAGAGACAGAACAGATTTGTGATACAGCAATTGGGGGGGGGAGGATTTAGACATCCTCCTTCATCTAAAGTACAAACAAATCCACTGGGCTATCACATGCCCCTTAATTGAGTTTAAGCAGGTCTTCGGACATAGCCTATCATGATTTAAATGTTATGTTACATTTGGAAATAATCAGTCAATTCTTTATCAGCCAATAGCGTACCGGATTCGCTTCAAAGTGCTGGTTCTTACCTTTAAAGCCCTATATGGTCGGGGTCCAGCTTACCTGAGGGACCGCCTTTCCTCATACGTTCCCCCGCGAGCACTACGGTCTGGGGCGCAACACCTTCTGGCAATGCCAGGCCCCAAAGAGGCCAGGCTGGCTGCTACCAGGGCCAGGGCCTTCTCAGTGGCGGCTCCTACCTGGTGGAATGAGCTCCCGGAGGAGATCCGGGCCCTGCGAGACCTTGCACAGTTCTGCAGGGCCTGCAAGACGGAGCTCTTCCGCCAGGTGTATGATAATCATTATTGTTCCATCTTAGCCTGGCCCTGGAATAAGGAACATCAGCGTTCTCCGGAGCAGATGACGCTGAACTGGCAGAGCAGCTGTAATCCACCATCTTGGGAAATATCATGTTGGGAAATATCATGTGAGAACAACTAGAGCACTTTATTAATAATAATGTTATTGTATTGTTGATATTTTAAATGGTTTTAACTATGTATTATATTGGCGTATGCCTCCGTGTAAGCCGCCCTGAGCCCGCGTAGCCGGGTGGGCGGGGTGTAAATTGAACCTATAAATAAATAAATAGAAATGCTTGACACTATCTTTCATGACTTGCATATCCAGAAGACCAAATTATGTAAGAAATCCTAGTTTAAGAGGTATATTCCTTCTCCAAAGCTGCCTTGTCAGCAAAAACATTTAAATCGAGATGATACACTCAAATGAGTCTGGTAACCAATTTCCATACCCAGTAGCTAACCAGGGGTTATGTGCATACTTGTTCCCTGGAAATGGGATGTTATAGTTTGCAGTAGTAGCTGTTAACACGGCAGCACCTCTATCCTTCTAAAATCATCAACTTCTCGGCCACACATACACAAAGAAAATTAGTTAGCTCTTCGAGGAGTGTATGTGGTAGCTGCTCCAAACCACATTAGGGAAAGGGCCTCTAAGGGGCTTAGAAAAGGTCCCCAAACTTAATTTTAACATTCCTGGTCTAGAATATATCTATTATTCAGTACACACTTTTAAAGAGCTACTACAAGTTATTTTCTTTGCCAGGAGGAATTATATATTGTTGTTATTATATAATTGTATTAAACAATTTATTTATTTATTTATTTAAACTATGAATTTCATGTGAAATAAATGCTGTAAGCAAAGTTTGATTCCTGGGCCATTTCGTGAGGGTAGGGAACACGTGAAATGCATTAACTCAAAATAATCAAATTATGGAAAATTTTCCATTTTTGGATAATCTTAAACTGGCTCCTTGGTATTTTATTATTTATTTATAAAAAAATTTTAAACAAAATGCTGCTAGACAATCTTTTGTGCAGAAATGGAAACAACAGGAACTGCCAGGTAAACCTTCATGAAATTAAAATATACTGCAATGATGAAGTCTAATGAAGACAGAACAACTGGAATATTCATGGAACATTATATAAGACACACGAAAATGGCTTCTACAGCCTAGGGGGGGCTTATTTTGAGTAAATTTGTTGTAGTCATTTTACTTTGTATGTCTATATGTTTAAATATTTATATATGTTTACTTTTGTAATCTAGCACAATATAAATGAAAAATTAATAGTCAATAAGCAAAATGGTTTCTTAAAAATTATCAGCACACACACTATATATATCCTGTATTTTAAAATCTTTTATTTTAATACAGCTCTAACTGATGCTTATATATAGTCATCAGAAAAATTCCCTGTGAGTTAAGGTATATCATATGCTAAAGCAAAGCAGTAGATTTTGGTCAGGCCACAGTCAAAGTAACTGTTTTTACAAATGTTGCAGTCAGATAGTGTCAAAGATTCCCTGACAATAAGAGAGTTGATTGCTTTACTGGTTATACATGATCCTGGCCCTGCATTGTGCTGCATTTCTTTTTGTATATCATTTTTTTTACTGCAGCTTTAATATTTTTATTTGTTGTGGCGATTAAGTCTTAACAATAAATTGAAATCAATCAGTCAAATCCAAAGAACCGAGTTCCTATTAGCAAAGCCCCAGGGAGATTATTACTAGATGACTACCACTTAAGTCAGACTTGTAAACTAATTTAATCACTGTAATTATCCAATGATTATTCTAGTTAGATGACTTGACCTTATGTGCCTGATCCACAAACTGATTACAGTTCCTCGGATTAGAGGAGTCCGCTGCCATCCCGCTCTAGCCTCTGCATCCCCCTTCCCCCAGCCTCAGCGGGTCTAGACTGCTCATGACGCAGGCACGCATTCTAGGGAAAGCAAGGTTTTTACAATCAGATGTCAGAATTGAGAGACATTACTGTAATTCTCTAAACCCTTACTGACCTGGTATTAGGAGCCAAGCCTCTTGGTGCCATTGAACATAGACAAGGGATTGCCATAATGCTCACGTTCAGGAAGTGACCCTGGATCCTGTCCCACTGATCCTGGCTGTCTAAATATAACATCACACTTCATTACTTCAAGCATATCTAATTCCCTGTTATAAGTGATTAAACTTGAACACTTACCAGATTTAAGCCTTTCTTGCATCTTTCTAAAATAAAAAAATGAATAAGTAAGGGCAGTAAAGGATGTAAAATAACACATTAATTAAAAATGTGATGTGTTAATGGGGGGGGGGAGAAAGCTTTTAACTCAAGAGAGTTGGATCCCACTTCATCAATACTGGCTCATGCTGAGTGATTCTTCTTCTATCCCAACTAAAATGTTCACTTGCACAAGGCATAATGCAAGATGTTTTGCACCAAAACTCAAACTTCCCTCTGTAATTCTTCCAAACAGGTCAATCAGAATCATACATTTCCAGGTATGTTATGTGTAATCACTTTTTTGGCCATGAATTGACACAGTTACAGCTTCCAACTTCAAATAAAATGGACTTTGGACCGTGGCTCTGTGTAGTTTGCCATCAGAAATTGTGACTTTTGCTGAAACTGTAGTGATACAGTACCAAGTGATTGTTGAACATTCCATGAGGAACATCTAACAACAAGTAGCTATAAATGCTGGAAAAGCTCCTCTTGATTTGAAAGTGTTCATTCAGGGGGGCAACTTACCTGTGCTTTTCTAATCTTGTCCAAATGGAATTTTACAACAGAATACCCCTCCCACCAGAGGACCTCAACTGTGTTTGGCCCTATATGATAAGGGGTGAGGAAAAGCATGGATTGCTGGATTTTTAATTTTTTAATTTTAAAGATTAATTAGGGTACAGAATTCATAATATCTCACCAAAATATAGTATACTTCATTTGCCATTTTTCTACCATTTTATTGATATCTTCAAAAAGTAAACATACTTAATCCCTATTCCATCTAAGCTCCATATATAAACAGAGATTTATTTGTTTTTAGCTTCATAAATAAAAATAAATTTAAAAATTGCTGGATTTTGATCCTATTTTGTGGGATTGCACCAGTGGCTTTGGGAAAGCTTGTGGATTCAGTCAAGGAGCCCAGAAACTGGTGTGTTGACTGGGATAGAAACTTTGCCAACTGCTGCTGAGATGCCATGAGAACCAGTCTGCACAGGACTGGGTTCCACACATAAGGAGAACAGCCCCCCCCCCCCACGGACTGTTTGTATGCACACTCATGCTATACTCCTGTACTTTTCCTTGAACCCTAGCCTGAAACTCATCACTGGAAGTCTCCAGAATGCACTGCTGATTTCTGAGACAGCATATAGTCCCCAGGACACAGGTGAACACCTGCAACTCTGACAAAGTCAACCAGTCTCATGACTGATAAGAACTCGACCAACACATTGTTTTGAGATACTGGGAAGATGTTACGGGCTTGGGTTTAGCAGTCTGGGTGCCAAAGTAAAAAATTAAGAGGGAAAAATTAAGTCACACCTCTGTCTCCACCTCCTTAGGAGTGACATACTACCATGGTACTGCCCCTGCCCAAGGGAAATATAGAAAAGGCAAAGAGGAAGGCAGGTTGGGGAACAGCTTTAACTTTTTGAGCAGTTTTTTTAAGGCCATAAGTAGCCTTCCTGTTTAGGGCCTGCCTGCTTTGAGCATGTCTTGAGATTTCCAAAGGCCTGTCCTCACTCTGCCCTCCCTTCCTCGTAATTCTCAGGAGTCTGAGTGTTGAGATGCCCAAAAGCCTATGAAGGTTGTGTAACATGCTGTTCAAAATTCATTTGGACTTTGCTTTGCCATGCTTTGTTGAACTTGTATTAGTCTAACTTGTTATTCCATAGTGTTTTACAAAGCTAGAAGACGGCAACCTGAGGAGGAGGATGCAGAGGAGCAGTTTGGTGAGCTCCCAAACAGGTTCTACTCCCAAACCAGAAGCTATACAAGAGGGACCTGAGGAAGGAAATGGCTCAGCAGAGAATGAGCCACAGGAGACATATTTCTCAACATGTTTTGCCTATTTCACAAAGCAGATCGGTATTTTCCAGGCCACATACTGATAGAGGGAGAGTGTATAGAAATATTGATTTCTAAAAGTCTCCTGCCTTCTCCTGTGATTACATTCTGATGACAAGCTGTGCCTTATTTCCTGTTGCAAGCCAAATGGTGAGGCCAGATGGCCTGAGCAACTTTATAACCCACATTCCTTCACACCTTTCTGCTAAGCTCTAGACTGCAAGGCTCCACAATAGGGCCCACATGCAGCATGTCACGTACACAATGAAGATGCTAGGGTTTGGGTCACCTGACTGCAGGCAGGGTCCCCAAACTTCTAACCAATCCTCATCTACCTGATGCTGACAACCATGGCAACCAGCAATTGGCCACACACCCCTGCTGCTCGTGATTGGCTGAATGGCCACGGCTAATTATGACTAGATTGGGGTATAATTCCGTTAGTCCATATGGGAGTAATCTCTCTTGCTCTCTTCTCTCCTCTTGCCATTGTCTGTTTATTGCACCTGAAATGCTGTCTTTTGGGAAACAAAGAGCTGCTTTGTGAACTGGATTTCATACTTGTGTAAGATGGGATCTCTCCTCAAGATCTCTTGGTACTCACATGGACTCTGGACAATCCAAGTGGTAACTATGAATCTCATTAATGTGTAGTTATGGCAAATAGCCATAGCCTTTGTTATTTTTGTATCCTAATAGTCTAGTTGCTATGCTCTGTACTGAATAAAGATCATTCTTATTTCTAATTGTTTCTGATGTGTAACTTAAACTCCAAGACTAAATCCTGTGGCTGACACTGACCACACCAAGCTACCATATTAAGAATAAAGTGTGCATCTCTAAGTAGAGCTGCTGATGTGTAAACCCCAGATGCCAACTAAGGCAGAGACTATAGAAAGAGATTCTGGTGGCAAATTGTTCTGAAAACCAGAGATGGTATAGAGTGTTGTTTAATGTGCTGAAAGTGCAGGGTTCCCTCGCATTCCTGGACTGGACTGAGTGGGTTAATCCTGTACAGAGACATACATCCTCAGGACAATCAGACAGATAAATAGACATGATAGCCACACAGTCAAGGGCACAGAGAAGACAAGACCAATCATTCCTGCATAAAAACAAAGGAACTGGAAATAATGCACAATTGGAGGATACTCGACAAGGCTGCAACTGGAGTATAGGGAGAGGGGGAGAGCAAAGTGGAAGAGTTAGAAGAATACACATAAGGTATGTCTTCAGAAGAATAATTACAGACTTTGCAAAGTTTGAGTTCATTTCCATGGGGGGGCGGGGGACAGAACAAACAAAATAGCCAACATTATGCAAGTCTTGCATCACGCCTTGGGCATTTACTTGATAATGGTAATGTACATTACCTATTTAAAATGGTAAGAAATTGTTTCATTACCACTTTGCAGAATCCAACCCAAAGTTTAAAGCACGCAACCAAAACTAACAGTAAACAGAGGCAAAGTTTTATATTGATATTAATAATGGTATTTTTTAAAAGCAGGTTCTACTCTGAAATAAGTAGGAACTACTTCCTAGTAAGGTATATTTACAAGAAGCATACTAATGACAACTTTAACAGTGCAATCCTAAACAAGCTTACACACTTCTAAGCCCAATGACTTCAATGGATATGGTGTTTAGGATTGCATTGTTTATGGCTTCTATCACAATTTAAAACTGTAACGACAAATATCTAATTACTTCCTTCATTCAAAAGTTATTTCTGAAAAAAATTCAAGTGGACCTGATCCAACAACACTTAAATCTCACTGAGATCAATGGAACTGGAGTTAGACCCAACAAGTGCTAGCTGGACTGAAACAGCTGTTAATTTGTGACTGCCTGGCTGATTTTTACTTACCCATCCTTCTCTGAGGCAGTTTGTTGCGAGTACATCAAAGGCAAGAATGATAATTCACAATCTTCGGGTCTGAGAACAAGAGAAGTAACTGGCACTCTAAATCTTATGTATGCTTACATACAACCTTAAATATTTACATAATGTTTATTGTTCGGATATATTAGAAGACTAGTATTGATTATTAGTGTAAATGACTAGATTATCTGAACAATATTTTTTCAAGTTCTCTAAACACAATTATTGGATTTGTATAAGCTGATACCTAAAGAGTAATTAACACATGGAATTCACTGCCACAAGTAGCAGTGATGGTTACAAGCATATACAGCTTCAAGAGGGGACGGGATATACATATGGTCTATCAGTGTCTATTATCCACAATGTACAGATGGAACACTATGTCTGGGGCAGTGATGGTCTGTATTCTTGGTGCTTAGGGGGCAACAGGGGGAGGGCTTCTGGAGTTCTGGCCCCGCTGGTGGACCTCCTGATGCACCTGGGTTTTGGCCACTGTGTGACACAAAGTGTTGGACTGGATGGACCACTGGCCTGATCCAACATGGCTTCTCTTATGCTCTTATACATTTCAATTAATATTTCCTTTTTAAAAGGCCATGTTTAGGTAGAAATCCTACAACTGCCCTTTTATCCTAAGAAGGATTCAAAAATTAAATAAATCTCTCTTACTTCAGGCTTGCCAGTGTCTTGATCACAGCAAAATTTTTCCGCTGATCTGAAGGCATCCATCGATGCTTTTCAGCAAAAGCGAGAGTCCTTGATCCAAAACCAAACATAGCAGAGAAACCAAAGCGAAGCAGTTTGGTCGGACTACTGAAAGAACATATGTCTACTGGTTGAAGATGTCCTGAAATGTAAACAAAATTATTTTGTTTTTTTCTTTAACAATCCCCATAGGGCTCAGGATAGATTGTGATCACATTGAAACATTAGCTTTAAACATCATATTAAAACTTAACATGATTCTTTAGAAACCCAGTGCCCTTATATATGTCTCTGTCAGTATTAAGCACTAGAGGTGTTCATTTGGGTCTACCCAAACCAAAAGTATACCTGAAAAACACCTCCTCGGTATTTTTCAGGAATATTTCGGTTTCCCAAATGTATCCAAACTGAGAGCCAGTTTGGTGCAGTGGTTAAGTGCGCGGACTCTAATCTGGGAGAACTGGGTTTGATTCCCCCACTCCTCCACTTGCACCTGCTGATGTGACCTTGGGTCAGTCACAAGCTCTGGCACAGCTGTCCTTGAAAAAGAGCAGTTTTTGTCAAGAGTTCTCTCAGCCCCACCCACCTCACAGGGTGCCTGTTGTGGGGAGGGGAAGAGGAAGGAGTTTGTAAGCCGCTCTGAGACTCCAAGTGAAGGGCAGGGTATAAATCCAATCTCTTCTTCTTCTTCTTTTGGAAGAACAAAAAAAAATCCCGAAAAAAACCCTAGATATATTTGGGAATTACCAGCAAAACCGGCTGCCCAGCAGAACCTCAGCAGAGCTTGAGCTCTGTTGGGCAGTCCTGTTTAAACTGGGCTGCCCAGCAGAGCCCACGGGGAGAGTTCTCTCCACAGGATTGGCTTTGCTGCTGCTTTTTTAATTTCTTGGTGTTTTTCGGCTTGAGTCTATTGGACCCACCAAAATTTAGGATTTCTGAAAAATCCCATATCCAAATACTTGACCAGTATTGGATCTGGGGTTTTTGGGAATACCAACTTTTTTTAGGTCCAATAGACCCGAACCAAAAAATACGGAGAAAAAAAATGCACACCCCCATTAAACACCCATTTGAGTAAAAAGGGCTCACTAAATTTTCTAATGGGTTGAAGAATCCAGCTCTAATGGACTTCTACCCATGAGAAATTCTGTGACATTCACCAACCATATTTCAGGTGGGTAGCTGTGTTGGTCTGAAGCAGTAGAATAAAGTTTGAGTCCAGTGGCATCTTTAAGACCAACAAAGTTTAATTCTGGGTATAAGCTTTCGTGTACATACACACTTCTTCAGATACATTGGAACAGACTTTCACAACCATTACTTATAGGTAGAGAGAAGATGGGGTTTAATTGCCAGGAAAGGCTGGCAATTCCAGTTCTACCACTCTGATCAGCACTCAGCATCATTCCTAAGGAACCTTCCTCTGAGTAAAGTAGTTCTTCCTCTGAAAAAGAAATTATTGGTTGATAATACTACCAGTCAGAGTCAGTCTTGATGGTTGCCCTCCCTCTCAGGGAGCAAGACCATAGCTTGGAAATTAAGATCCACGCTAACAAACACAGGCCCCCTTGTGGCATTTACTGCCTTCGCTCAACTTTATTTTATGTGCCAGCTGCAGTCTTCCCTTGACCAGTGTCCATTCTGTTCACATCAAGATTAGACTACCGCAATGTGTTGTATGAGGATGAATGCACCAATTTTAACTTTTCCAGTGATCAACCTGTAGATAGTTACTGTAATCAAGATTAGACTACCGCAATGTGTTGTATAGAGGAAGAATGCACCAATTTTAACTTTCCCAGTGATCAACTCAGACTTTTAAAAAAGTTACAATTCACCTGTAGATAGTGACTGTAGAAATTCAAAACTCTGAAACAGAATTTGGAATGTGGCACCTATGGGGCAATATGCAGGGGGTGAAATGGGAATTTTCCAGGGATTCCAGATTAAAGAGACAGCCACCAGACCTGATGCTTCCAGTTTTCTGAATGCATACACTTCCCCCTTTCACAAGGGCCAGCTCAGCAGCAAAGCAAGAGACAATGATGGAAGGCACAGTAAAAAGGGTCCACAGCTTAGAGGGAAACATTGCTCAGGACTGATTCACACCTTATGAAATCCTTGTGGCCACCACGAGAACTTTCAGAGTTCTGTATTTGGAAATGTATTCCTGGTTGTGCAGGTGTCTGGTTTGGACTGGGGTCGTGACACATGGAGAAGAGGGGGTTTAAGCCGTCTTCTCTATGCTGCTGAAATGGCCTCACGGACTGCTGCACTGAAATTTCCACAACATGGCAAACGGCATCTCCCCGGGACCATTTCAGATGAGTAAAAAAATAGTACAGGGGTTAAGACTTATGCCCACTTGCACCATACACTGTGGGTTGTGCAGGTGTCTGGTTTGGACTGGGGTCGTGACACATGGAGTAGAGGGGGTTTAAGCCTTCTTTTCTTTGCTGCTGAAATGGCCTCACTGACTGCTGCACTGAAATTTCCACAACATAGCAAACAGCATCTCCCCGGGATCATATCAGATGAGAAAAAAAATAGTACAGGGGTTAAGACTTATGCCCACTTGCACCATACACTGTGGTTCCAAAACAAATCAAGCCTCTGTGCATTTGGGGGACCAATTTTCCCACAGCAGCTCACCGTGTACATCTGAATGAAAATCTTCTTGGCAGTCAGCCATATAGGGGACATACTTTGAAATATGTGAATCAGCACTCAGAGACCCCTGAGACATTACACTGGACTGGGTTGCATCCTTACCCTGACTGGAGCAGCTAGCTGTTCAAGAAGCAAGGAGCAAGTCTCAAATGTACCAAAGACAGATTGTGTATGCACCAAAGATACAATTCTCTATGAATCGAATGTCAGAAGTTTTTAAAAAGGTTATCTCCAAAGATGGAAAAAAAGGTTTAGTAGCAATTATAATGAAAAAAAAATGTTACTTATGTAAACTCTAGGGTTGCCAGACAATAGCAACCAGCAAGAGACTGGAGGCAATGGGGACTTGGGGGGGGGGGGGATTTGCCAGCCTGACAGCATTATGTAACTTCCAGGGAAACCCTGGAATGTGATGTCATGCCTCTCTAGAAATCACCAGAAACTATGGTAAAACCATGGAGTTTCCTGCAATTCCTAGAGAGGCATTGTTGCAAGCTGGATCACACTCTCTGGCTATCATTCACTTGCATCAAGTTTTGCACAGCCAGAAAATGTTAAATTGGAAGCATAAATCAGATCCCTTTACACTTTATCGTTACTGGGATACTCCCGCGTTTGAATCATACAACTGTTCCAGATGTAATTCTATTTCTCTTATTAATATCAATATGAAAATTTAATGTTGTCTTATTAAATCATGGTATATAATATTAGAACGGCAAATTCACCATCATGATCAATGTGTTTTCTAAAACCTTCTGATACAGTGATATAGAACACTTGCCCAGGATTATGTTCAATGCTGCAGTTGTTATGTGTTGAACTCCATTCAGAGTATGCGCCAAAATATTTGTGGAACCTGTAAATGTTAAACAGAAAGGAAAGAACGTGAATTTGGTATCATCAACAAGACAATATTTCATTCTGAATATTTTTTTAAGTATTTTGAGTTGATTGGAGTGAGAATTCTTACATAAAAGGGTTGTTCCAAAGTAGAAAGTGTCAGGCTATCAGATACTCAGAAAGGCTTAAAATTCTTTTCCCTCTCAAAATTGTGAATGGCTCATTATATTGCAAGAAGGGGTACACATTTTTCGTGGAATCCTTACCAGGGAATCTTTAAAGCAAGCCACACTCTGTCCTTTCCTGTTTATCTTTCCTGCCACAAGAGTGAGCTTCTGCAGACTATTCCATGGTCAAATCCTACACATATAACGGTATCTACAGAGGTGAGCAGTGACTCGTGAATTGGCACCGTTACAGCTGCCACAAATTTTGTTAGTCTTTAAGGTGCTACTGGACTCTTGCCCTTTTCTATTGCTACAGACAGACTAACATGGCTACCTATCTTGATACAATGGAAGGCCTATGGGATTTGCATTCCATTAGAGATACTTAGATCTGTAGCACTATTACACCTGCAGATCCAATTGTTTGTTTGTTTTACTTGGTAAGATATATACTATGCCAAGATCCAAGAACCACTGAATCGAATTTATTGTGAAAACAGATGAACCCTGACTCTTTTGTATTACACATTTTCTTATTTATATCATTTAGACCCTGGCTTTACTCCCAATGCACTTCTATCATTCGCCTCTCCCCTATTTTATCCTCACAATAACCCTGTGAGGAAGGTTAGGCTGAGTGACCCAAGGTCACCCAGTGAGCTTAAATGGTAGAGTAAGGATTTGAACATGGGTCTCCTACTCTTACAGTCTACTGAAAGATTCTACTCTTACAGTCTAAGCACTACACCATATTGGCTTTCTCTGCTTAACAGAAGGCTCTGGATAACTCTTTTATTTTGTCTTAGCTCTCAGGCCTATCACAATATCACTGTTTTGATAAAGGCTACAAATTTCTTAGGGCGAATGGCTTTCACATTGTCCCACTGACAGCACAACCCAGCCACAATTAGAGGACAGCTTATTTGTGGCTATTTTAAGATGGGCTGAGACATGGCCTTAGTTTAAATGTATATATTTTTTCACTAACTACACAAGCAATAAAATATAGATGCTGAAATGCTCGCACTCTTTCTTCCAAAGGGTGGGAAAGAACAGGAATGTTTACAAAAGTATCAGTAGTTCATGTAAAGCATGATGATGAAGCTACCAGACAGAAATTGTAGGGGAAAATGTCCTTGGAAGTGCAAGCACTCCTGCAGAACAATTAACTTAATTAACCAGACAACATGAATATTCATAAGTCTGTTAATGTCTCCCACATCCAAACAGATAAATGTGATGTAATGACTTCCTAGTCAAGCATATCTAAAAGTCTCATGAAAATCACACCAGCACTGTGATTCTTTGCCCAAAATATCATGGAAATTAAGGCTGATAACAATATTTTATTCTCCACAAATTAACTGAGAGCAGGGATTTAATGTGATTGAGTGATTTAAGACTGTAAGATTTACAGTCGGTACATAAATTTCCCTTTGTTTTATAGCAATTAAACTGCTTTTTCATATCCTTCACATTTTTCTCCTCTTTATCCAAATCCTTCTGTTGAGTTCCTCAGCAGTAGTTTCCATGGCAACAAACGCTATTCCGAATGGCTAACAGGACCCCCACAAGCCTCCTCCCATCTGATCTCTTTATTTCTGACCACCCCACAGCAGCGTAATATGTTGACCCAACACAACCTACCTTCGTCTAGATCAAACACTCTTCCAAGAAGAAGAAGAGAAGGTTTTTATACCCCGCTTTTCTCTACCCTAAAGGGTCTCAAAGCGGCTTACAATCATTTACTTTCCCCTCCCCACAACTGGCACCTTGTGAGGTACATAAGAACATAAGAGAAGCCAGTGTTGGATCAGGCCAATGGCCCATCTAGTCCAACACTCTGTCACACAGTGGCCAAAAATACCAGGTGCCATCAGGAGGTCCCAGCAATGGGGCCAGGACACTAGAAGCCCTCCCACTGTTGCCTTCCCCCAAAGCACCAAGAATACAGTGCATCACTTGCCCCAGCCTGAGTTCCTGTCTATTTTTGTTGTTCAGTCGCACAGTCGAGTCCAACTCTTCGCGACCCCATGGACCAGATCACGCCAGGCCTTCCTGTCTTCCGCCGTCCCCTGAAGCTTGCTCAATTTCATGTTCGTTGCATCTATGACACTGTCTAACCATCTCATCCTTTGCCGTCCCCGTCTTCTTGTGGCTAATAGCCACTGATGGACTTGTGCTCCATATGCTTATCTAATTCCTTCTTGAAGCCGTCCATGCTTGTAGCTGCCACCACCTCCTGTGGCAGTGAATTCCATGTGTTAATCATTCTTTGGGTGAAGAAGTACTTCCTTTTGTCTGTTCTAACCCGCATAATCTTATGAACTTCAATCATGTCACCCCTCAGCCGTCGTTTCTCCAAGCTAAAGAGCCCCAAGCGTTTTAACCTTTCTTCATAGGGAAAGTGTTCCAATCTAGTTTTATCATTCTAGTTGCCCTTTTCTGCACTTTTTCCAATGCTATAATATCCTTTTTGAGGTGTGGTGACCAGAACTGTACACAGTACTCCAAATGAGGTCGCACCATTGATTTATGCAGGGGCATTATGATACTGGCTGATTTGTTTTCAATTCCCTTCCTAATAATCCCCAAGTAGGTGAGGCTGAGAGAGTTCTGAGAGAACTGTGAGTGGTCCAAGGTCACCCAGCACTGCAGGCTTCATGCTGGAGGAGCAGTGGAGAATCAGACCCGGTTCTCCAGATCAGAGGCTGCCGCTCTTAACCCCTGTACAGTCACCTCCCAGTACACCAAACGTAGCACACTCTGACTTTCACAATTTAAGAACTGAGCATTAGCCTTTTACTCTGAGTTTTATTCTCATAATCTATTTCTTAAAAATCACTGCTCCACACAGCTAAAATTCACAGAGTGTATAGTGTAAGTATACAAAAATATTTATTCAAGACTTAAGAAAGCTTACTATAAATTTTTTAATAAAGCAAGTTTTTTTTGGGGGGGGGAGAAAAACAGGAAGTTACTATGATTTTTCATTCTAGGAGGTCCTGAGCTGGGGCAGCCTTTACTTCTGGGAAGCACCTCCACTTGGTGACAGGTAGGGCTTTTAAACTGATCACCAAGGGGAAGGCATTCCCAGAATTTCCCAGACCAAGCCTGGGATTGGAAAAGCTCCCTTTAATTGGCCAGAGCTAGATTTGAATTCCCACTCTGCCATGAAAGCTTGTTGGGTGTCCTTGGGGCAGTCACTTACTTTATCAGCTTGATCTACCTCAGACATTGGTTGTTGTGAGGATAAAATGGAGGAGAGAGAATGATGCTGTAAGCCACTTTTGGGAGGTCATTGGGGAAACAGTGGAATATAAATATTTGAATAATGATTAAAAAACAACACCAATACACTAGCAGAGTAAAACTGCAAGTGGACAGGAAAGGCAGACATCCCCTTGACTCAAACTGCGTAGGTCTACTACATGAGTTTGCTGGTCCTTCCAAAGCTGAATCCCCATGTCCACCATAAGGAGCCAAGGAAAGAAAAACTGGGAGGGAAGACTGCCCCACTCTGGAAAAAGTTCACCTTGTTGAAACCATCAATCCAGAGGAATCAGAGACAAGAGACACTGACATTGTTGTAAGCATTCTCCAACGCTGACTCTTTACACTGAAGATGACAATCATTTTAAAATGTAAAAATCAATTTAAAATGTAAAAATTGAGCCCATATCTTTAAAATATTACATTACAAGTGAATTTAAAAGTGGTATATTACACAGAGGTTCAGCCTACCTTGTTAATGTGTGCTTTATGAAAGAGATGTCCAACATGCAGCTGCATGGAATTAATTAGAACAGTTTTCTTTATAGAGTCTGGGGTCCAGTTTGTTGTAGAGAGCATTTTGCCAGCCAAATTTAAAATTGAAGGCTTCCAGCCGGGTACAAAAGAGGACTAGTTTGCTACTACTATAAATATTTATATAGTGTTCATGGAGAGCTCTTAAGCCAGCATAATATAGAAGGCTTTTGCACCTGGTTTGCTCCTTTACAAACACTTGAAATGGAACCAGAAGTAAGTTTTTAAAAATCAAATAATTAAATTATAAATTATAAATTAATATGAAAAAATTAAATAATATCCCATTCAGCTTCATGTTGCTTTTCATTTAAAATACCATGGGTTATTTTCCAGGATTACTTGAAGACCATAAAGAAGAAGTTAAGCATTGAACATTGAGCTGTAGCAAGAGGCTGACACCTTTCAATACAATAGGATTACTCCTGAGGAAGATTGGGATGAAATGAGTTTATATCCAGGTGCCCATTGAGAATGATGAACTTGTAATATTGCAAAGTTTTATTTATAATATAATATGATTCTTACTAAATGTCTTAGTCATTTATATCACAGTGGCCCTTGTCCACACGATTTTGGGCCGGGAGTGGGCCGGATCGGGGCTGGAGCAAATGGGCGCGATCCCACTGCAACATCTGGGCAGCGTTGCGCACCCGTCCCCGATCCGGCCCTTCCCCCGAAGAGACGCATCAAAAATGAACCACCTACCGAGGTGGTTCATCCACGACGGCCGCATCAAGGCCGGTCGTGGGATCGCCGGCCCGTCTTTCTGCCGGCACATCCCCGTCTCCTGCCTGAACTGCGCATGCTCAGACATGCGCAGTTTGGCAGTCTCCCGTTCCCCTCCGTCGCTTCCCCCAGCATCTGATTGTGCTCAGGGGATCAATGTGATCCCACCGCGGCGTGTTTCTTTTGGTGCGGCTTTCAAAACTCGCGCTTCAGCCCATCCCTTTTCCCCCCGTGTGGCAGGGGCCTTAGTCATTTATATCACAGTGTTTGCTTGTTTGTTGCACTTCCTATATGGATACCTGTGATCCCTTCTTGGTTTTTTCCTACTAAAAGGAGTAGCAGAAAAGCACTGGGCTTCCCACTGGGTTTTTGAGACTGCCAGAACAGAAGTCTCAGGACCTAGTGGGGGCCTTAGAGACTTCAGCCCTGGAGAATGTATAAAAGGAATACATTCTGTTGGAATGTCGATTGCCATGTTTCAGGGATGGCAAAGCTTCTTTTTATCTTGTGTCAATGAGAATAGGTTTCAAAGGATCACCAAACAGCTTGCCCATCTGGAAAGGCACACTGCCCAGCTTAGAATGAGATTCTGGGGCCACAGACGTAGCACCACATAGGCCACATAAGAAGCCACAACTCTGAGGGAATACTGGATGAAGTCAACAGATTAATCTGCTGCCAAAGGTGCAGCCAAGGATATTTCCTTTTCAAGCCCATTCTTTACCTTCTTAGCTAGCAGGTTATTAACCAACAGATACACCTTTCTAAAAAAGAAAAACCTGGTTGTGGGAGCTCTGAGTAAACCAAAGGAAGCAAACATTTTTCTTAAGTGCTTTCTCACTTTGTTTGTCACATGCATCCTTACAGAGGCCATCAGATTCTGCAGGCAGAGCTAAGGATGAACAAAGAGAAAGCATCACACATCAACTAATAGAAGTTTAAATTGATCCATGACCTGGGATGACTCTGATGAATGTTTAATGGCCAACTTGGTGTAGTCAGGGGTGGGCCAGTCCACATTCACCATAGCATCAAATGAGAAATGTGCCAAAGTATGGCTACTTTTAAAACAGTGCTTCTGCCACACTGGTGAGAGGCTGTGCTGTTCTACAGAGCAGCAAGGAGGGAAGAAGCAGATGTGTTCAAAGAGCAGGTCCCTTCTCAATAACCATCTGTGCCCCCTAACTTATCTAAGATGGGTAAGGAGAGAGCAAGAAAGGCACTTTGGATTCAGAAAAAAGAACGATTTAACAAAAGAACAGCCACTCCAAATCATCCTTCAAGATTATGAGGAACTTGAAGAATTTGGCATCTGATGACAGACTCAGCAGTATTTCCAATGGGGGTGATATTCACCCCTTTGCAAGTATATTTCTCTCAACCAGCGGAGCTCAACCTTCCATTTCTCATGTTCCCTCAGTCACTCTATCAAAGTACCACCATGACAGAAACAAAACTTCACACACACACATATATATATCTCCCACCTTTCCTCTTGGCTCAAGGCATTTACAGCCATTCTGTTATTATATTTAACTTTTATAGTAAGTTTTAAAGATAGAAAAATTGTAGTAGTATTGTTGGGAGTAATCCCTGGGTAAATCAGCAGGAGAGGGCCCATCAGACCTGCAGGTGAACACGGGGACTAAGGGAGAGTGAATTATAAGCAATTGTTATGAAAACCCTGCATCCCACCTAGACAAGTTCTGTGTACTACCGACTTCTGTGTATCACCAGTTGAGAACCACTGCTCCGAAGAACCCAAGGTGCCTGTTAACAGTGCAGTCCTAGACAGAGACTTCTAAGTCCACTTACCATTTTAAGCTCACTGAAATCAACAGGTTTAAGAAGGGTATAACTCTGTTTAAGACTGCAACTGGTCTGTGGCCAGGTAACTACTACTGCTATGGTGAAGTCATTGTTATGTCTCCACGAATAGTCCAACATTAGATGCAAAGGTTAGTTTTACACTGTTATGCTCAAGCCTGTGAGGAAGATATGGTAACCTTCTTTGAAGAGCCATAAAAAGAGTACGGTGGGTGCCATTAGGAAGAAGAAATTATTAGACTCTTCAGAATAAAAACTATAAGCAAAGATTGTAATGGAACAATATCATGAAAATGAAGAACAGTAAAATCCTGAAGAGATGCTCCTATCACAACCACCACCACAACTACCACCAAAAATCTATCTACAGCATCCAACAGATTCATATTTACTGTACTAGAGTCTTACCTGCTGGTATTATTCCAAGAGGAACTTGTGCTTTTACTGGTTCAAGAATATCATCACTGTCCCACCCAGCATCTATCTGGGCTCTAAGCAAAATACCATGAGCCACCTCACTGGCAGTCCCATCTCCACCAACACAAACCACCCTAAAACAGAACAAATCAGAAGACTCTTCAATACAAGAAAAGCAATTTACTGTCAGACATCACACGTTTAAATTGATTACTTCCATTGAGTTAATCCATCTCATGTCTTCCTCTTTTGCTGCTACCATTAAGGCAATCATCATCATCAACAATAACAATAACAACAAATGCAGTTCAGACTTAAGAGCAATAAAGGAATTAAAACTCAAGAATGAAACAAGAATCAGACTTAAGAGCAATAAAGGAATTAAAAGAAATGAAACTCAAGAATGAAACAAGATAAGGAAGGAATATCAGTTAGATATAAAAACAGCAGCCCATGTTGCAGAAGAAATTTTTAAAATGTTGCAATATCCAAGAAGAGCATGAGGTACAATACTAGGATCCAGCAACATAGGTGAAACTTCTAATTTCAGACTAACCAAAGACAGTTCTACAAATCACTGGAGAGAGATGACAAAGTAGATACTGGTTGGGCAGATATAGAATCCCAATATGTATTCCCTCTCTTGATGTCAGAGACGATGTGGGTACAACCGAGATTCAGATCTCCAGACATGAAGGAAGTCCAATTTTATGTAATATGCTTCATGTCTGGGATAGACATAGAAATAAATTAACTCCTCTGATCTCAATCTCTACATTTACCCACCAGGAGTGGTTTGGTCCAGGTTTTTTAACAGATGATTTTTGCAGCTGGAGAGAGAAAGGTATGTTTAGCCTCGCCTTCTGGCTTTGTTCAGATGGCATCATTAAGAAGGAAAAAGCGGAACAGCTCAGTGGTCAGAGGATCCTTGGCTAACATATTATCAATTGTACTCCTGTATAAACGACTTAATCTTAATAAGCAAAGATGCCCCCAATTTTAGGGGCCTGGTTTCTTTTATCTGTAAATTCTTGATCTTGCATTTACGGAAAGCCTTGTTAACTTATCAGCTTAAGTGGAATTCTCTACTTCCTCAAGCTCTTAATGAGGCAGAATGGAAGTAGATATGGGCTTCACAGGCGAATACCACCCCAATAGCTAATATCTGAGTGCAGCTCTTTAAGTTGATGTCACACTGGTACAATATCTCACTTAATTACATTTAATATCAAAGACTTATGATCCGTACTGTTGGAAGAAATGTGGCAACATAGGAACAGTGTAACACTTATGGTGGGAACTAAATGCCCCTCAGCCACTGCTGCTAATTAATGCTTGTCGTGAGCGTCTGCCCTGAAGGCGTGCCTCCCGTCGCCCGGGCATCAAGTCCTGGCAGAGTCGGTTCCTCAAATGTGCAACCCGTGGAGGCGAGTCAGGGGGGCTGTTTGCTGCTGATTGTTCCTCATCAGCTGTTGCTGATGCAGGCGGCCTTGGCAAGTTCTCGGCCTCCGATGCATCATCGGGGCCAGGTGTGGGTTCTGCTGAAGCCAGGAGCTCACCCTCGTCAGTACTCATGACAGCAAGTGCTTTTGTTTCCAGTTGTCAAAGGGAGTTTCTGTTCCAATCTTTTTGTCTTTTATTTCTGTAACCTTAAATAAGTATGCCTTGTACACTTTAAGTAGAAGTTTCTCTTTGCTTTTCTTGGTGTATTCAGTACGTGTTTTTGTTCTTCAACTGCTTGCTTAACTTTTAGGTGACCTCTTCCACATAAAAGATGATCAACATCACTTCTAGGGTGTGGTAAATTATGTATCATCATTATCTTGCGAGTTTTGCGATCTGTTGCTTCTTATTCTGCTTGTTTCCAATTAATAATGCCAGCTGCGTATCATAGAACAGGGTCTGCCCATTTGTTAATTGCCTTTATTGTGTTGCCTCCATTTAATTTTGTTTGCAAAACTCTTTGGTAAAACTCCTTGGTTGTATTTTTCTTAACAAGGGTATGTTTGATATTGTCAGCTTCCAAAATTCTAAGATACTTGTCATTTTCTTCATAGATCAGTGTTTTGATGTCTGAGACACCTTTGGGTAGTGAAGGGCGGGGTATAAATCCAAACTCTTCTTGTTGCTCTTCTTGTTCAACGATCTTTCCTTTATTCAGTGCTAATGCTGCACACTTGTCAAGGCCAAATTTCATTGCTATTCAAACTGTATTCAGTAAAGAATCACTCTGTGATGATGACCTTTTATACATTTTCAAGTCATCCATACACAGTAAATGTGAAACCTCTGGGGCCTGTTTTTGAAAGCTGGTATCCTAGGCCTGTGCAGTTGAGAATGATTGTGATAGTGAGTTTCCTTGGAAAATTCCTCATTTGATATTAACTGTTCCAGTTTTTTCTCCATTCACTATCAACCTTGTGCTCCATTTATACATGGCAGTTTTAATAAACATTATTACAGTTTTGCTGATTCCTATCATTTCTAGTGTTTTCAGGATCTATTTTTGACGGAATGAATCAAATACCTTCCTATAATCAATCCAAGCAACATTCAGGTTGGTTTTCTGCCTTTTACAATTTTGTAAGACCATTTTATCAATCAGTAACTGATCTTTAGTGCCTCTGGATTTTTGGAAAATTCCATTTTGTTCATGTGGTAAAATTGAATTGAGCTTTAGATATTCTTGAATGGAATTGGCTACAATTCCTGTCAATATTTAAAAAGTTGTTGGGAGGCAGGTAATGGGGTGAAAGTTGCTTGGCACTGTTCTTTTTTTTTTTGGTTTTCAGAATGAGAGATGTCCTGCTAGTTTTTATCCAGTCTTCTATTGCTTTGAAATGGAGCACATCAATAAGCTTTTGCACTAGTTGTAGATGAAGACTTGTCAGCTTTTTAAGCCAATAGCCATGGACTCCATCCCTTCCAGGCACTGTCCAGTTTTTCACTTTCTTGAATTGTTTTTGCAGGCTTTCCAGGGTTATTATAAGATCCTCTATTGGCTTTCCTTTCAGTTTGTTTTCCACATCTGTGATCCACATGGTTTTTTATTGTATTCTTTTGAGTCTTCCCAGAGTTCTTTCCAGAAAGTTGTTGTCTTTTCTTTGTCTCGTTTTACTTCTACTTTGTCTTTTTTAAATGAAATTTATTTATAAAAAAATTAAAAAATTACCAAGTCCATACAGAGAGGTCTAATATCAAACAATAGAAAACATACATCGAAAGCTGTCAATCGAATAAGTCTAAGAGCACAAGATCACATTCCTTAAAACTTTAACCAGTTAAATTGTTGATCATTTATGGAAAGGACTCCTTTATTGGAAAGGAGAGTGAAAACTGGTGACCATCGCTCCAAATGAACTACCTGAGTCATGATACCAGGAGCTCCAAAAAAGAATGGATTGTCTATTATTCTACTAACTAAAAATTGATCCCATCATTTAGCATACCATAAATTTAAGGTGGGGGGGTGTTGGTCAGTTTCAGGTACTATCTATAGTTAATCTAGCAGCCGCTAATAAATTAGATATTGATACTTTGGCTGTGTGTTGGATACATATATCCACCCAATAATCAAGTAGCATGAAGTCAGGAGAGTAAGGACGTTCTATAGACAGTATGTCACAGATCTGGGAATGAACTTGTTTCCAAAATTTTTGTGTAATTGGACATTCACCACTCGACGTTCGTTCCTTGTGGCAGCAACTAGTCGATTTGACGACGCTTTGCAACCACCTTGCCTGTATTTTGGTCTCTACCCGTGTCCTGAACTCTTGGCTCCTTGACCTCGTCTCTAAACGACTCCACTCCCGGTTTGTGTTTTAGACTCTTGTTATCGGCTCCCACTTTGGCTGTGACCTTGGACTGGACTTGGACTCTCTCTCTCGCTGCCTGCATCCCAGCCCGTGACACTTGCATGGGCAATGTTTGAAAGACACAGAGAACAAAGTTAGTAATGAAAACACCTGGAAGTGCTTCCAAAATGGACACCTGAAGAAAGAAATGGAAGGACTCATTCTAGCTACATAAGAGCAGGCACTCAAAATGAATAGCATGAAAGCCATGATTTCCATGGTGGATCAATCTTCCTCACCCCGCAAAGGATTTTCCATGGAACTAGAAAGTTGTCATGCTTGGCACAGCCACCCATTGCCAGGGCTCAGCCAGCCAGGAACTCCACCAGCCCCCTATGGGTACAGTGTCTTAAGCAGGAATCAAAATCTTGCTTTGCCTCTAGTTCCCACCATCTCGGCCTGGCAGAGCTCTTCCCAGTGGTAGGCTTGACCTGGGCCCCTGGCGCGCCACTGTGCAGTCTGCCTTCCTCCCTGCCATGGGAGTGCCAGCATGAGGCAAGCAAGGCTGCCTCTTTCCCCAGGGTGGGAAGGGGAAGATCGGAAGCAGCGACTCGGTGGTTAGGAGGAAAGAAGCAGCCAGCTGGATCTTGCCAGGGACCAGTGTGTGCAGGATGCTGCAAATTCAATAGGGGGTGCCATCTGCAGCCCCCTCCCACTGGCTATGGGCCTGTTGGAGCAGTGCCTAGAAGTCTCAAGAAACACCTGGACATTCTGGGCATTGAGCAAATAACACCAGCTCAGCTCCAAAAGACAGTGTTGCTTGGAACAGCAAGAATCCTGAGAAGATACATCTGCAATTCCCAAGAACTTAGCTAGATCTCAAATTACAGAATGTCATCTACCAGTCAAACATCTGACTGTTACTACTAATAATAATAATAATAACAACAACAATAGCAATAGGAAAGTGGTCCTAATGTCTTTTATAGATGAAATAACTAATTTAAATAACATTAAAACAGGCCTGTAGCCAGGATTTTTTTAATTTGGGGGGCCCTTAAATAAGTCAGGGGGCACTCCACACAGACCCCTGTAAACACCTCCAAGGGAGCGTCTGGGCTGGGTGGGAAGTCAGGGCGCCTTGGCGGTAAGTCAGGGGGCCGGGCCCCGAGATGCCCCACTGTAGCTATGGGCCTGCATTAAAATATAATATAAATCAATACTATGAATTACTTTGTCTCAGTTTTTGCTATCTTTACTAATTCAGCTATACACAAAATACCATTTATTCTACTTTCATTACACAAGTCTCAGCAAACATGAACATTATTTGTAATATGTCTAGGCTAAATATTCAGTGAAAGAACTGTAAAAGCTTTGTTATCTGGCACTTTATTATCTGGCATTTGCCAAGGGGCAAGTGCTTTACTCTCAGCTGCCATGCCCTTACATCTTTGGGCATACGTGTACCCCTCTCCTGGCTTTCCTGCTGGCCAGTGTAATGCCTGCTGGGTTTCTGACAGCCACCACTGTCAGCTGACATCATCTTTGATGCCTCACTCCCCATCAGCCTGCCTCAAACTGCAGGGAGCTCTAGGCCCTGTTGGAGGGCTCCTGGGCAGCCGCCCGCTTGTCTGCATGTTGCAAAGGGCAGCTCCATTGTTTGTGAGGGGAAGGGTCCCACCGGGCATGAGGTGGGGTTTACTCTGCACAGGGAGGCAGGATAGAGCTATGAACTTGAGTATCCAGCACACTGATTAACTGGCAACTCCAATGAATGTTGTATATAAAAAAGCTTTCATTGTTTGTTTTTATGTTTGCTATGATCATCCCCATGTCAACAATCTCATCTAATCAAATTAAACTTTTGAGCATAATACTCTTTTAAAAAAAAAAAAAAAACACACATCATCAAATACTCCCATTTTCAGATACTGGAAGCCAGCAGACCCTAGGCCTGCCTAGTAAATTTTCTTCCTGTGTGTGATTGAGATGAGCAGATTACATACCAGTCATTATCACTGGGTGGATTTACAGGCAAAGATAATGAAAGGAATTCAAAGCTAAGTTATCAAGAACAATTTCTGCCACTCTGTGACTATCATACAAAACACAGAATCGTCTGATAGCATCCCCAACACCAGGCTGTTCTATTTACAGGGAAATGGCATGTAAGTTAAAATTAAGGTGCAGAGGATCTAACTACCTTTTTTGTTCTCCCTTCCTTGAGCTTCTTCTCCTTTCCTCTTTCCTTCCCCCATATGTCATTGCAGGTTATTGCACTTGTCCTAATGATTACCAATACTGGGGAGATACGTTATTCTCCAAGCCTGAAATGATGATTCCAAACTTCTGAACAGGTTTATCTGCCTGCAGACCCAATTGCTTGGACACAAGGCCTTTGTATTATGTTTGACATTTCAGAGGTGCAACACTCAGTAGCTCTGACCATAAACACACACTCGTAGATAGTTTTATATAGACATCAAATAGTACATTATTTATATAAAACGTTTTATTTGAAAGACATATCTAATGTTTATTTTGTTAGGAATGTATGAAAGATGCAGAAATATGAAACTTTGTTAGGGTTATAAATCACTTAAATCATTTTTATTCTAAAAATAAATAATGAGCATGGTATTAAGTTCAGATGAAGTATAAATAACATATATAATTGGGAAAATCAGGGCTAGTTTTGGGCAGGAACGCACAGGAACAGAGTTCCGGCTGGCTTCAGAGTTGGCCACGCCCACTACAGCCAAAACCTCTGTGTGTGTGGCTACAGAGGGGAGGCCTGGAGAGTGACCCCCCCTGGCAACTCCGAGGTGGGCGGGCCCGAGGTGGGCGGGCCAGGGGGAACCCTGGAAGGATTGGGGAGGCATTTAAATGCCTCCCTATGCCTTCCCCAGCCTGTCCAAGGGCCGGCTTGCCCAGGCAAGCCAAGGGAAGGCAGTTTAAACTGCCTTCCCTTCCCTTCAAGGGTGGGGGCTCCCCCGGGCTCCCCGCAGCTGCGGGGCACCTAAACAAGCCAAGGGAAGGCATGGGGGTGCAGCCTAATATGCTAATGAGCTGTGCTGTCAGGATGTGGCCTAATATGCTAATGAGTTTCTGCTGTTGGGTGTGGTCTATGATGCTAATGAGTTCCTGCTGGGCTTTTTCTTTAAAAAAAGCCCTGGGGAAAATACATTAAAATTATGTGGTGTTTCACTTATGCAACTCTAAACATCTTGATCTTCAGTCCCATGAGCACTCTGATGCACAGAGTGCCCTTCTGAGCACTGACTGACCTATTCAATAGGGAAGCCTAAGCAGATGAGGGAACTCCATAGCTAACACATAAAATAACTGGACTGGGAGGAATCTGTGGATTTTTGCAGTACAATAAGAGATAAAATCTCAGTCATTATTAAAGGGGGTCTTTGCTCCCTCATCACCTATCATCTTTTCCCTCAGTCAGTGCCACCCTTACAGTAAGAAGAAGAAAAAAACATACCCTTACCCATTAAAGGATTTCAGATCACATTCCTTAAGCAAGGCAAGAGCATGTCCTTCATACTCAGTCACTACAAAAGAAACATCATGTGTTAAAACACAGAAAAAAGAAGCAATGTAAAACAACACTGTACTTATGAAACTAAAATGATATATATATCTTAGAAGGCATATCTTAGAAACATAGAGGTGGAAGGGACCCCAAGGTCATCTAGTCCAACCCCTGCACAATGCAGGAAATCCAGTTACCTTCCCCCCCACTCCCCCAGTGACCCCCCTGCTCTATGCCCTGAGGAAGGTGAAAAAGTAGAAGAGCTACTTTTAGTGTACTCAGTATAATTCTGGGCATTTTGGCCCTGAAACAGCAGAACCTCTTGCTAAAGCACAAGTTCACCTGTCTGTCAAAGTAGTGCTGAATGATGCAACTGTAGACATACAAAGTCCCTGTAAGTGTGCAGTACTAATTGTGTGGTTTTTGTGGAGAGCTGTCATTGTCATTATTTCCTCCTTATGCTTTGAACATGGAGGAAAAGTTGTGTGACATCTCAGGACCTGTTCAACACTGTGTAAATGAAAGGTAGATAGTTCGTTTATTTTCTCAGCAAGATATATTACATTTATAACACAAGTTTAGTGACCTACAGAACAGAATCACTAGAAAAGGCATAATTGACACTTTCTGCTGGAAGTAATCATATCCTAAATATAACTGAATTACACAAACGTGTCATGATCTTTGCATCAGTATATGCAAATTTCTAACTTGGACAAGCTAAATCATGGTAAATAAGAAATGGAACCAAATACCAGTAACGAAACAATGTAACACAAGGAGGGTGGCAAGACAAGTCTATACCAGAGTACGTAGCCTCTGGAGGAAATGAACCTGTCACTCTGCATCGCCGTCTCTGTTTGCTGATGTCCTGCGCAGTACAGTAGATGCCAGCAAAGAAAGAATAAACTGGCATCCCGCAGATGGCATAAAGCATCATAACCACAATGAGCATTTTCTGGGGCATCTTTGCCAGAAGAGACAGCCCAGCTGCATCCACTCATCAAAGATTTCTGCTGACTGACATGACACTTCCAGATGGATTTTTTGTGTAAGAATGTGCATTATTATATGCAAGATTACATTAATCTTTCATGCTTGTCTGTCCTTGGCGATAATACATTTGCCCCCACCCCATGATTAAAAATATTGTTAAAATGCACCGGGTGGTTGTTTAAAAAGAAATTTCAAGTCCTGCCATTATTCTTACTAATTAAGCAAACTTAGTAGCCTCACCTGCTTGGTATGGATGGGTAGCCATTGGCCTCATAGCATTGTTTCTGGCCCAAAGTTGCAAATAAGGAACTCAAGTCACACAACAGAATTACCCTGCGTGCTGTCCTCTTGAACTTCAGATTGCACCAAAAGAGAAGCATGGACTGCCCAGAAACAGAGTTGTCCCATTCCCACCACTGTGCAACATAGCCACCCATCCCTTAAAATCGTAACGCGAGGAAGGTAGAAGCCCAGTCTTCAAATACCCCTGCTGTTATTACTATAAAATATTAAGCTATGTTAATACTCAAGAGGTGCAATATTTGGCGTTCCCTCGTAATAGCAAACCTCAGGGGCACTCAATGAAGCTGTTAGGAAATAGGTTCAGAGCTGGCAAAAGGAAATATCCAATGAGTTAAAGTGTGGAATTTACTGTCAGTGGATGTAGTGATGGCCATGAGTGTAGATGGCTTTAAAAATGGATCTGACAGATTCATGGAGGACAGATCTATCTAATACCATTGCGACTAAACCTTGGAACATCAGTGCCAGGAAAAAGCATCTGAGGAAAGCACTGGCCACTATGGCCTGTTTGTTTGGCCCTATAGGGCAATCCTCCCTCATGGATCACTGCCTTGTCGTGGCGAGGGGGCTTGCATGGTTCGATGAGGCTGTGGGCTATGCCGTGGAGGGCCACCCAGGATGGACAGGCCACAGCAGAGAACTCAGACCAAGTGTGATCCACTGGAGAAGGAAATGGCAACCCACTCCAGTATCTTTGCCAAGAAAACCCCCTGGACAGTATCAAAAGGCTAAAAGATATGACGCAGGAAGATGAGCCCCTCAGGTCGGAAGGTGTCCAATATGCTACTGGGGAAGAGCAGAGGGCAAGTACAAGTAACCCCAGAAAGAGTGAAGCGGCTGGACCAAAGCCGAAAGGACACTCAGTTGTGGATGTGTCTGATGGTGAAAGGAGAGTCCGATGCTGCAAAGAACAATACTGCATAGGAACCTGGAATGTAAGATCTATGAATCAAGGTAAGCTTGACGAGGTCAAAAATGAGATGGCAAGACTGAACATTGATATCTTAGGAATCAGTGAACTAAAGTGGACAGGAATGGGCAAATTTAACTCAGAAGGCCATTATATCTACTACTGTGGCCAGGAATCCCGTAAAAATATTGGTGTCGCCTTTATAGTCAACAAAAGAGTGCAAAAGGCAGTACTGGGATACAATCTCAAAAATGACAGAATGATTTCGGTCCGATTCCAAGGCAAATCATTCAACATCACAGTAATCCAAGTCTATACCCCAACCACTGATGCAGAAGAGGCTGAAGTGGACCGGTTCTATGAAGACCTACAACACCTCCTAGAACTAACACCAAAAAATGATGTCCTCATCATCATAGGGGACTGGAATGCTAAAGTAGGAAGTCAAAAGGTAACCAGAATAACAGACAAGTTTGGCCTTGGATAACAAAATGAAGCAGGGCAAAAGTTAACAGAGTTTTGTCAAGAGAACACCCTGGTCATAGCGAACACCCTTTTCCAACAACCTAAGAGGCAACTC